TCGGATTCCAAGTCCATCAAATGCATGTCTTCATTTAAAAAATAAAAAGAAAAGGGGGACACGCCTCTGCCAAACTTCAAACCGACGACCTATCTGTCACTACGAGACGAATAAACCAGTATGCTACAAGACCTCTATGTACTCTCAAAAATCACACCAATCCTCAACAACGCGGGCCCTCAGGCACCCAGCTCGCCTTGTCGATGATCTCCAACGCATCCCACCTCAACATCGTCATGGGCCATCATCACTCACAAAGCCCTCCCAATACTAGGCTCATCTTCAACAAACCCCGTTGTTTTCAATCTACCATCAAGACCCGCGAGAGACAAAGGGGTCAGCCTCGAATTCCAAGCCCATAAAAAGCATATCTTCATTTAAAAAATTAAAAAAGGACGACATGCCTCTACCAAGCTTTGAACCAACAATCTATCAATCACTGGAAGAAGAATCAACCAGTATGCTACAAGACCGCCATGTACTCTCCTTTTGCAGCCCCCCCTATTCAAAGTGTTCCCCGACTGCTTCTACCACAACTCAGCTAACTACTTCCATTTAAGATATATTTACATAACATGCCATGAAGACCACTACTACTATCATACTAGGGCTGGAGGTTCGGTTATCGGTTACCGGTTAACCGGCTAGTTAAACCGATAACCGGCGGTTACCGGTTAACCGATAACCAAAAATTATATGCTTCGGTCGGTGGTCGGAGCTCCTAATAGGTACTTCGGTTAACCGAGTAATCGAAAATCGGTTATCCGGTTAACCGACAATAACCGAAAATACCCGGTTATGAAGTTTATAACTTTATGTTGTTGAATTTGAGACATTAATTTGGTGATTTAGATGTATTTTCTATGCAAAAGTGATTGAAACTTTACTTTGGGTGTGATTTAGATGTAGAAATGTAAGTTAGAACCTTTCATGTTAGGCGATTCTAATAATTTTACCCGGTTAAAACCGAACCACCATCATTTTTTTGGTTATCTCGGTTAACCGACCAACTAACCGATAACCGACCAGTCGGTTATTGGTTAACCGAGGCATTGGCATCGGTCGGTGTTCGGTAGGGGGAGATGGTGGTTCGGTTAACCGATAACCGACCAATCGGTTATCGGTTATAACCGAACCGAACCGAATCCACCCCTATATCATACTATGATATCATTCACACACGTTATGCTCATATTTACGCTTAAATTATATGAGGCGATATCCACTAGCATTTTCCGTAGATACATTAGCTTTAATATAAAGTAGAGGTTCGACAGGAGTTCGAACTAGTGTTCTCAGGCATACGTGCGTAATGCAACTGGCGTTTAGGTCAGTTGAGCTAGGCTCTCATCATAAGACAACAGAGCGCTCCCCCACCCAATAGATTAGAAAGGAGAAATGCCTCCCGATAAAGGTCATCGGCAACCTCCCAACTCACTAATCCCCACCTCCATGGCTCGGCGCTATCGTTGGTCATGCAAGGGGGCACTAAGTCAAGAATTAAAAGAGCGTAAATCGGCCAAGGGAAGAAGCATGAATTGAAAAAAGAAAAGCAGGATTCAACAACCCAATTGAAGCCAAAGAAGCACCTTTCCAAGTCTGCCTGACAAAGGCCAAGTCAACCTCGTCGCCTTTGCTGCAAGCCGCACCGTGACTCATAACAAACGTAGTCGACTAGATTTGACCACGCATACTCCAAGCGTAGCAACAAAACGACAAAAGACCGATCTCACCTTCCAACAGGCGTAACGTCACCAAGCTGACAAGTCCAACCTTGCCTTACAGTAGGCGTGGTACTGGTGATACACACGAGGGTCTTTAGCTAAACCACTCAAGCCATGGGGGCCACCCTGCCTAGCACGTAGCTAACACCTAAGACAATAATGGGATAGTATGCGCCCTCTCTAGCACATAGTTAAAGCCTAATATTCAGCCAACAACTTATGCTTAAGTTGCACACAAGCTCATGCCCATCTCGCGGTCCAACAACTTAACTCATAAAGCTCACAGTTACGGACTACATATTAGCACGCTCAGCAATGGGCTAGTGGAAAAATATCAAATAACTTGAGAGCCCTAACTCATTATATTGAGAGCCTAAGAATGAAAGAGGCATGACAAACGATTGTCGAAGAGGAAGAATGCCTTGCGAAAGGAAAACAATCTCACAATAGAAAGAAATGCATCCCTCGTGGCCCAACTTACGGTACGCCTCAAACGCACCCAAAACCTGCCTCCAAATTCCACAATGCGGGCAGACCCAATACTTCACAATAGTAGCAACCTGCATTTCCTCCCATCGTACCCTACCTTCATCTGGTCTGCTGATAATTGTCGAAAACATATTGATTTCATGTGCTTAATGTGATTATTTCATAATATGTTTGAGACATATGCTGCTTGTTTAAAGGACAACTGACTCCGGAATGGTGATAAGACCATTACCACCATGTGTTAGAATGTTGATATATTTTAGGTGGAAAGATAGAAATTGTGGAAGTATAAGCAGAATGACAAGTCGAACACAAATCAAGTATATAACCGAACCAATTTGGACCGGGTTATTGACCTAGCCATTTGGATGAAGGGATAGTTGGAAGGCAGCATTTGGAGCAGCGGAGAATTCTATTGAAGGGAGTTATTGGACCGGCCGGGGGAGCAAGGAATGGATTTGGGCCAAGGGAATTACTTGGACCGGATTATGGGGAGAGTAGCAGTTCACACAAAGACGGGATGGAAGTGGAATTCTTTGGTGTCATTCTTGGGATTTTTTTGGCCCAACTTCGTTGTCTTTTAGTGGTGAATTATTGGGACATCTAATTGGAGAAGCAGCAGCGTTTTGGACGGGAGGGACGAAAAAGAATTGGACACAAGGTTGGCTGGGGGGAGGAATCTCGCGGGGGGGACGGCACATTGGAGCCGGCAATTAACGGAGAGCGCGACTTGGAAACTAGAGCGGCGGATCGCAAGCGAGAAGAAATCCAACCTGCGATCATCAGTGATCCCGAAGTGAATTCTTTCTAATCTTTTCCCCTCTCGATTAGTTTGATGATGAATATGAACATGATTGTGTGTTTTATTTTCGTCATGAACTAGATCCCGATTTCTGGGGGAAACACCATAGGATCTAGCTATTTCTAGACTTGAATGATTGATTCATAATTCTTTTCTTTCAATCTCTATTGCATGAGATTACGTAATGCTTTATGTTAACTGGCCACCAACACATCGATTTGTAGTTGATTAGGTTATTAGCGACAGTGAAACCCTGATAACTGAACATATTTCATGTGACATAGCAACTTATCGAAGCGACAGTGGATTAAATAAGGTGCTATGCGGTCTTAATTGGGATATCGGTCTTCAGGCTAAACAGTTAATTCATTGAGCTATGACAGTAGAATTTGAATTAATTGTTTGGTACGTAGTAATTCCCGACAGGGATAGCTAGCACAATAGAGATATCCTGGCTGTAGAGATATGGATTAAATTGATTGGAATATGTGAATTAATTTGGATTTGATAGGTAGTGAGTCCCAGTGTTTCTCATAGAACTTTCTCCATTGATTTCTCCCAACAACTTTAATTTGCTTGTTTTATTTAATTATTTTGCTATTAGATAATAGTTTCACCAATTAAACCATTTTCACCTACAGTTTGCTCTATAAATTGATAGAATATAAGGTTGTACCAATCCCTGAAAGACGATACCCGGACTTTCCGATTTTACTACGAGATAGGATTGAGGCATTACGCTTTTGCCCTATCATCTGCTACTCGCAAAGCTCGCATCCCACGATCGAAGAGCGTATTCCAGAGGAGGAATCGCCTAGCAACCATCACGCCTTAAGATGAAGCCCGCAGCCGCATAACATCGCCTCCCTTCATCGAAGTCTAAGACTACTCTATCTACAAATTTCATTCAGCCCGTTTTGCCAATGAAGCCAATGGAGACCAGCGACCCATCATAAATCAAACTCGCGCCCCGAGCCAATCACACAATCCACCAATCATGGTCTGCATCTAGCTGATAGCTTGCCACGTGTCCGGCCCGCACTCCAAGTTCACAATGTGGACTCACCTTCAGTAAAGCCGGCACAGCCATTACGCATTCGGAAAAAATCCAACTACACCAATTTATCACGACCTGCCTTCGACTTGGGCCCAACCACACCAAGACCACACACATCCAACCTGACTCGAGTTCGCTTCGCGTCTACCCTTCTCTGCCAACACAGCCTTGCTTCCAACTCATGCCCCGCTACACTTCCCATTAAGCTTATGCTTAAGTGATATGAAAAACGTCGTTCCATAGGGTTCGAACCCACAGACTCTTGCATGCAAGAAATATGATGGAATCCACTGGGCTACAACATCCTCTTGTAAAACAATGACAACCGCTTTATGAAAGCCCGCCTCTGATTTTCGGATGCTTACTCGCCTCTAGCATGACCTGAAGGATTGCCACCTTCGAAGGTTCGGCTTGCTTCCAAAGCCCATCACCACCATACCACGGAACCCCATCTTCAACGTCTCGCGTATCAATCTCGCGTCTGAAGGGCAAAGCCACCTCACATCCATAATGAGGTCCGCCTACAATAGATAGCTTTCAATGATGGACTCGCACCCCAACACGCCTAACGACTTCAACCCATGCACTAGGCCTGACAAACCTTAGGTCAAGCATGGCCCGTACCTTTGCCCAACACGGCCCACATGCGATGGATGCTTCAACAATTTGATAAAAAATGCTTCAGTTGAGAATCAAACCCACATCCTTCTTTCCCATAAGAAGGACACGCTAGAAGAACGCCTCGTGCTCCAAATGGAAACGCCATACATTTTGATTTCACGTGGATATATCTCAATTACATACCATGAAGAAGATTATTATCAATACACCAGGATATTCTCCGCAACATGTTATGCTATATTTATGCTCTAAATATATTGGCCACTAGCCACTAGCATCTTCCCCGATAAACTCGAAGACTCACTCCTCAGAGCAATGCTCCCTGTGAGGAATGCTTTCCACGTCCGAGCGATACACCCTCTGGGGAATGATTCACACCCTCCGAGCGATGCTCCATCTCGGGAATGCTTCCCGCATCTAAGTGATGCTCCCTCTCGGGAATGTTTTCCGCCTCTGAGTGATGCTCCTTATGGGAAATGCATCCCTCCTCCGAGCAATGCTCCCTCTCGAGAATGTTTATCGCCTCTGAGTGAAGCTCCCTATGGATAATGCTTCCCTCCTCTGATCGATGCTCCCTCCGGGAATGCTTCCGGCCTTTTAATGATGCTCCCTTCGGAGAACGAACCACGCCTTCCGTCTCTGGGCAAAGCTCAAATTGTAACATCCGGGGGGAAACTCAAAAACTAAGCTTCTCAGAAAACTGTAGACTAACGCGCTTCTCGGGTTTCAAAGACTAAAGCTTTTCTTAAAAAGCCAAAAGTCTAAACTTCCCAGAAAGCAGGAAGACTAAAAGCGCTTCTCAGAAAAAGAAATACCAAAATTCCCAAAGAGCTAGAAGAAAGAACGCCTCCTAGTAGGCGGAAAGACCGAACACCTCCTAGTAGGAACAACATCGACAATAAGAAAAAACTTGATCCCGCCTCACATGGGTAAAACATTGGCAAGACACATGAGCACCCGACACACATGGTCATCTCTAAATTTGACTATCTCTAAATTTGACTAACTAGCACCCGTGAATCCCAACTCGCCCGATAGTTTAACTTAGTCCGTTAAGTATAAGATAATCCCTAGCTAATTGATTGTTAGGGTAAATACAATTTAATATCCAAACCTTTCATTTTAAACAATATAATAGCCAAACCTTTTTGAAAACAATTTAATATCCAAATCGTCAACTTTCTGTCCGTTTGACCATTAGTTGACACTTCATCAAGCTCGAAGTACGACACTTCATCAATATCCATCGATATCTTCTTTGAAAAACCACCAACATATCGTGATTCCAAACCCGAGAAGTCCATGACTCCACCATGATGGTATAGAATATTTAAATATTCAGTCATCTGCAATGCCAAAACAAGAAAACAAAGTTGTATTGTGACAATTTCCCCTAAACAAACCTTTTTTGAAGTGTCAACTAACGGTCAAACGGTCGGAAAGTTGATGATTTGGATATTAGATTGTTTTCGAAAAAGTTTGGCTATTATATTGTTTAAGATGAAAGGTTTGGATATTAAATTGTATTTACCCTAATTGTTATTACCACCAGCCAAATAAGCTGCAATCGCAATTTTGTTAGTATGCGTATTATATGGATGTGGGGCACGTGTAGGAGGGATGGAAACGTTGGGCATAAACTAGTGGTCATGACCCTTTAATAGGACAACATATAGATATGTATGGTATAATGTGAACTTATACCTAAAATCACTAGTGTAGAAATCACCTTCATATTTTATTGAATACCTAAAGAAAATGCATACCCTACACTTAATTATAAGGTAATCCGTGGACTACTAGTTGTTTTCTCTACTAATAAATCACTCTCGAGAGTGCTGGATTGTTTTTGTGATTGCACTCCGCTTATGGTTTAATGGAATTGAACTGCAAATTAGGAGAACTCTAACTACTTTATGGTTTCTCTGGGATCCAATACTGTCAAGGTGATAGAGTAGACACAGATACTACAAACAAGCATTAGTCAACAATAGCTTAGGAAGGATTTGGATGATGAGCCCGCTATATGCATGCATTGACGGAGACTCTCCATGAAAAGAGTAAAGGCCCAAGTTTTGGCTTGTGGGGAAACTATGCTGCCTTTGGGCCCGAATAGCTTAGGTCTTCTTCACTTTTTCGTAAGCTTTCGTTTTGGGCCATGGGGTTGGCCAACTTCTGTATGTAGATTAGTTGTGCAGCCTTTTATGTCGGCCTTTTTCTCTTCCTTTGTTTTAACCTTAATAAGTAGAACTGGCAAATTACAACCCGACCCGAAACCACCCAAAAAGTAGAAATTTTTGTAACCCGAAATTCGAGTGACCCGAACCCAATAACCTGTGATTTTTTGGGTCGGGTTGGGTGGGTTTGTGGGTTGACCCGTTAGACCCGTTCCATTTTATATATCACTCCCAAAATTATAAAATTACTCATAAATTTGTGAGATGTTTAAATAAAATCACAAGGATTTGAATGACTTGTTTGCAATTTAAGGATAATCAAATATCATATATTTCTTGTAGGAGTATTACTCTTGTGATTGTTTTTTGACGATTTGCGCAATTTGTATTTCATTTTATTAGCGTGGGAGGATTTGAGAATATGTGAATCGATATGTGTTAGATAAACTATTGTCATGCATATGTGAAAATTTGTGTTCTTGAAGAACATATGAATAATGTTTGATATTGTTTTGAGAACGCTCATAACCCGAAATGACTTGTAACTCGACCCGAAACCGAATGGGTTGGGTCAATATTTGACCAAAATCAACCAACCAAACATGACCCGATCCATAACCGAATTCTCCAACCTGAAATTATCCAACCCGACCCGATTGCCAGGTGGAATATTTCGATGTTCAGTACAGGAGAGAAAATGATCATGTTAATTCTAATGATGAATTGATTATTCCTTTAATTGTTGCTAAAGTTTGAACGTTGAACTTTTGCGTTTTGCGTCCTTGGTGTTGGTATCTATTAGATTGTCCAAAATTATGAATAATTTCTGTAATCGTTTACTTGGATAGACATGAGTTGTTTTTTTCTATTACCGATATCCAATAAATACTTCTTCGAAAATACTCTATCCAACATTATGAATGATTTATATAATCATCATTGAACACTTGAATAGATGTGAGTCATTTTTTCCTATCACCAATATCCCATTAATACTTTCTCGAAAATACTCGATCAACTCCATAAGTTGAACATAAGAGACTAATCGCCTTGTGACTAGGAAAGTGAGTCGATGTTAATAGGGACAATCAAACTCGCGATTGTGGATATCTCACCATTGCTGTCAATGCTTAATAAGTTCACAAAAGGGAACAAACAAAAACTCTTGATGGGAATAATTCATTACCCCTTCACTCTTTTTTCCCCATTTTATTGCTGACTAAGTACAAATAAATATGTAAAAAATAAACTTATCATATCAGCGCAAATGGCTTCTTATACACCGGAGGTTTCGCATGAAGCTGTAACAAATTTGGATGACTAGCAGTAGCAGTAGCAGCAACAGGGCTCACATTCACAGCAGAAAATTTTCAAGGGCTCTTCTCTTATCCTATCCCGAAGTGCACATTATACATTGCAGTCTCACAACTCCCACCACAAATTCATTATCAGGATAAAACTTATTTTACCATTCCTTCCTGCAACCAGAATTCTGGTCTGTAAGCTGCGTGGGCTGCTGCCACTGCTGGGTTGGTCTCTTTAGAGATTACTGTCTGCATCACCATCATCAAAGGGTTATGAATGAAACACAGAGAAAGGACTTCAGAAGCAACTTAGCAGAACAATGCAGTACCTACATCAACTTATGTTGTCAAGAAAAAATTTACTTGGACTCGGGGAGCTCATCGCCGAACTCCCCAAATATGTCAGGGCATCCATTCCAGTTTCCGCAATCTCGTGCTTCCCAGTACCCACCCTTGTACCGAAAAGGTCCATTTTCGCCGTCTTGCTCAAACCACCTTGGTTTCCACCCGTGTTCTTGCAGCTTTCTCGACTGCATGGGATAATTCCACAGTAAAAGATCAATGGACTTGAAGCTCGATCGAACACCATTTTCTTTCACTTGTACTTGAAGTTCTGATAAAAGAGTTACTTATTTGTTAACATAGAAAATACCATTCTTTGTCTCTTCTCCAGCCGCTGTTTCTCCAGGTTGGCCTTGTCGTACTCGCCACTCTCCAGATGCCTCTGGTCTGGTCTCAGCCTGGAATCTGTTGGAGGGAGCTTCTCCTATTTTTATCCATGATCAAATTACCCAAGATCAGAGACATGGGCTATTACAATAAACAATTAGAGATATGCATACATCAGGGGAGGAAACGAGAGTTACTGACTACTGACTACAAACAAACTACTGTGGTCTCTTTACCTTCAGTCCCGGCGTTAATTCGTTCAGGGTTATGGCAAACGATGTTAAGTTGTATCGAGTGAGATTTGGTACTGGCTTTATACTCTTCCATAGTAAGGTAGCGTTTGACGACGGTTTGTTCCTCGACTTTGATTGACCATCACCAAGCTTATAGTACATGCTGTCATCCCACTTCCCAAACACAGTGGCCACCTTTATCCCAGAGAGATCTTCTACAAACCCATTAACCTGTGCAGATTGATGAGCGTACGTCATTAGTATGAGCAAGTAACCAACTTTTTCCAAACAATTCAGGCAATAAACAGGAAGAATCTTCATCGATAAAGATTCTAACCTGGTGAGGATTTCTGTCGAGGATTGATTGTTCTTTGAACTTCAATTTGCAAGAATAGTCACGATTTCCAGTTATATTCATCATCCCATGGTGATCACAATACACTTTACCCAGAATGAGATTACGAATTGCGGTTGTAACCTGCAAAACAATGCAACCAAAGATCGTAAGCTTCTTGTACGAAACAAAACGCGAGTGACGATCAAAAGAAACCAGAGGTCACACCTTGCTCCACTGGAACATTTCACCATCATCAAACTCGAGGGTCAGAGCCCCAACCGGGTCGAGTAGAATGGATTGCCCCCAAAATTTGGTGTGCAAATCGCTGTCGGCCCAAAATTTCCACCCTCTACCTTCACAATGGCAGGCAATGAGAGTTGGATGATGACTAACCTGTGTTTCAACTCAAAATATCATCCTCGTATTCCTTTGTATTAAGGTTTAACATCCATCATTAAAACCGCTATTGTAAAGCCATTCAGTGCCTAATATCGTCTCATACCCTAGGAAAGCTTCAAGCCACAACAACTTCTCCCTTACAATTTTATAAAATAAATCAAAATAGTAATCGCAAGCATGGACAGCGATGACTATTAACAAAATCAATAAACGGATGATGAATCACCAACCTTCTCAGAGAAGAAGCGAACACCCTTGTCAGGAAAGTCAGCTTCATATGTTTCTCCGAGCAGAGGATTGAAAGGCTTGCAATGCCGGCCCTCGGAGGAAGCATAGCCAGACACGGCGAATGCAGCTACATGTAAAATCCTCATTAGGCTGTTCCCCTGTTTCATCAAAGACCCAAATATAATAAGATTATTATAAAGTAATGGGACAAAAAAACAAACAAACATGAAAAGCGTTCATTTTTTCCAAAAATCTTACGGCTCTTCCATACTCATAGGCTCGGTCCAACAGATACGAGTACTCCAAATCCTCAAAGCATTTCTGAAGTGAGGAAATCGGTTCGTTAAAGTAAACAGGGAGGCAAACACGAGTAAGATCCTTGCCCACATTGTCCTTGATCATTGACCAAAGACTGACCCCTTTCTCTTTTTCAACTGGTGTTGGAAGCTTTTGCCTCCTTGGGATGTGCGGGTATCCCGGATCAAATACCATGTGCATTTTATCCTCTTCACTATCGAGATGATTGGATATTTTATCCTTCCCCGAGTGACAACCTGGAACTTGCACTATAGACCCATCGATGAAAAAATCTTTACTGTCGTAGAAAGAGGGCTCCTCCTCGTCTGAAACTTCCTCCAGGTCTTGCTTCTCGATACAATCTGATGATTCAGTAGTGCTACATTCTACAAAGCAACACCAAAACATGGGAAAATATGAGAATGGAAAAGAGCCAAAAATACAAACAAAAGCCAACTTCCTCGTTCATAAACCAAGTAGAAGCAGTAACTTCTATGTGTCAATTACCACTGTATTTGCCACGTCCTAAAGTCGACAAATCATGCTTGGCCAACTGATATTCGCCATCTTGAATTCCAGAGACTTCAATTTCGATGTTGGAATCCTGCAAAAGGCCGAAGAAATGTTTTCAAGACTAGTTCAAGTAAATTCCAAATACTGAATAGAAAACCCATTTACAAAGCGCTACATCTTGGCGGGTATGGTCAGGCCAGAATGTGGGAACTATTCTATACTAATACTGCAACAAGACATGTCCTGGACAGCTCATATCATAAATTATCTACTAAATGTGCTGTTCGTATGAGGATTGGGTTATCCATTGGACTAGAATGATGGCATTCTTAAAGTGGGAGCAAACGAAACAATTATGGAAAGCAAACAAATTTCATAAGGAAAGAAAGCCACTTTAAGCTCAGTTTGGGTGGCATAAGCTTCGGTGCAAGCCATAAAAGAATACAACACAAGCAGATTCATAATCACCCATCAACCTGTTCAAGATATCTCAAACTTCATTACGGAATTGACTGAGCCTTTAAGCCAAGTCCACTAGTCCACACACCCATAATGAGAATAGAAAAACCGAGCTGAAATTCGACAATGCCAAGAGCCCAAGATGAATGATCGACTTACCTCCAGTTGCCTTAGAGTGTCTACCAAACTGTTCCGTTCTTCGCAAACAACTTTAAGCTGCGCATGTAACTCGGAGAATTCCAATAGCATAATCTGCTCACAGTCATTAACGAGGGTTTCATTGATGCCTTCTTCGACCAGCCGCTTTTTCAGCTTCTCAGTCGAGACAGACAAATCCTTTGGCATCCCATGCGAGAGACCATCTTTGAGTGACCTCGACGGGAAGAGGTTCCTAGCAGCGACCAAAGCTTGAATCCAAGCTGACCTGTCCCTCTTGGAATCAGTTCTCAAGTGAAGCGTCTTCGTCGCTGTGAATATGTAAAACCTCCGGTCATCGGACTTGCTTTCTCGGAATGACGAGATCTGCTACAAGAAACAAAAGGCACCAACTTCAGAAGGCACTACTAGAGTTTAATCAAAGGCACCCAACTTCAATTTCTTTCTGGGAATCAATGGTAATGGAAATTTCTTTTGAGCAGCAGATCAAAGAACATGAAGAAAAGGAGAACCCAGAAGAAAAGGCCGCCACTTTGGACCCCATAGGTGGTTTCGAAATGGAGTTTGACGATAACTACTAAAGATCTGGCACTCGGAATATCCTCGGAAGAGTAGAGATGAAAAAGAAAAAAAGGTAACTACCGTCGTTTCCTTATCTCGCAACCGTTCCTCTTTTAGCACACACAAAACTTGAAAGGTTGTTAAGAACCGATCTCTCAACCTCCAAAACTATAAAGACTCGTTTATAAAATATAAATGAAAAAAAACTATAATGACTCGTGTCTTGACGTGTCGATGTCCCCACAGCTGAGGTTAAACGAAAAAACCCAAAAAGAAAACACTGTGGCCGAGAACAACAAGAAATGGGAAAGGGAAGCTATAAGCTTTATAAAGCAAAAGAACAAAAGAAAGCTTGAAGCTTTGAAGCAGAAAAGCAAAACAAAACAAAACAAAGAGGGTATAGTAGTAGTAGGCTACTAGTAGCTGCTACCCGAGTTACCTCTCTCACATCAAACTCCACCTAGGCCACGAGTCAAAAACGAAAGGAACTATAACGCCCACCAAGTTTACTGTTGAAGAAGGAGAATGAGAAGATGGAACAAACTAAGAACGATGCAGAAGTTGTAGCTAGAAATGAAGAACAACACTTGAATATAGAGAGAACATCACGAGCTTTAAAGCTCATGGAAATGGTGGGATGTGAAGAAGGGGAAGGAGGAAAGAGAACAAGAGATATAAAAGAAAAAAAAAAAAATCAGAGCAGAGACTAGAGAGACAATATGATGTGAGCACAACTCATCACATAGACCTACAACGTACCTTATCAGACCATAGCTCTCTCCTCCCCCACTCCCCACTCCATTCTATTCCACCCCTCCCAAACAAACAAAAACCCACCTGCTGATGTGACCCACTATTGATTAACAACCAGTGAAAGCTGTAAAAAGAGCAGCAGAAACACGGGCAAAGTGAAAGAAAGAAGGATACACAGGGCCATATACAGTCCACATAGCTTCCCACCGTCCACCAAAAGGGTAGATGGGGTTGTAGTCAACAGTAAAGAAAACAACAAATCAAAGTATGGGGAGAAGAGAGAAGAGGAAACCAAAATCTCCATAAACCCTCTCCTTTTGTGGCCACCTGCCCCTCTTCAAAGAGTGGACAACGCATGTAACCTTTTGTTTATACTTGATACCCAGTTACCCACCCAGCAAAAGTGCAAAACTTCTCCCACTCTATTTGCATTCTCACTTATTACCCTTTTGCTTCTCGTCTATCCATGACGATTAGATATGAAAAAAAGCTGTTTGTTTGCTATGCTAGCTAGCTAGCATTGGCGATCAATTAGGCCAGCGAAAAAACTTTGACCAAATTGGTTCATAACCAGAATAATTGCTTTTGAATCAAATCCTTCTCCCCAATGGGCAAATTTCCCCTGCTGCTACCGCCAAACAGGGAAAAGAGCTAGGTCTAATGAATGAAGCTAAGGATTGACATTGATTCAATGCTCATTAATCGCGATTAGAGAAACTTTTCACTTCGAACTTGCATGATTACAAAGTAAACGTCAACAATTTACCTTGAGGTGAACAATGCCAACAGTTTTCTTCTCCTGCTTCCTTTGGCTAGAGCTGACGCTATCCATCCTCTGCAATCGATTGGTGGAAATCGCGCCAATCAATTGCACGTCCTCGTTCAACGCCAGCAGATTCAGATTCTCCGGCCGGCGAATCTTGGAGTAGGACAGAACCCCATTCTTCAGCAAGAACCACCGCGATCTCCACCCTTTCCCGTAATTGGTCCACTTGTGCAGCACTCCAGCCACCGTCGCCGACGAACCCGCGGGGTCCTCTGATCCGGTATGATTGGGTCCACTCAGAAGGCCCGCCGGAAGGGATCTCGCCCGCGTAAAGGCCGACAAACTCGAAATCTCAGGCGACTGGTCACCCAGTCCGGGGCTCTCGAGCGAGATGCAGCAGAGTGGGTGCATTTCCTTAACCCTCATTTCTTTTTCTTCGTTAGGTCTCTCGGATACAAAACAAACCCAAAACTGCTTCTCAGTTCTCCATGGGAAACTAATGCCGGGCTCGCGGCGAGAGGCTCAAGTCATGAGAGAAGCGGAGTTTTTCTGGGTTTCTGTGAAAAGTTGGAAGGGTGCGAGGGAAGTGAGAGACAGAGAGAGAGGGGGAGAGCTCTGAAACTGAGAGGGGGAATCGGGAAGAGATAATGGAAGGAGCAGAAAGGGGGGAATTGTATTGTTTGTTTAAATTCGTTTGATTCTTTGAGGTTTTTTATTCTGTTGATTAAATAAAAACAAAGAAAGGGGAAAAAATATCGAGATGTCAGCAATGGCGGAATGGTGAAGCTTGTGTATTTATATAGACACGGAGCTGAGGGAGACAGACAGACAGAGAGCGTAAGAAAGAAAGAGTTACGGCGAGACGTCAGGGAGCTGGGAAGAAGCCGTCGTTGGTGGAAATAGATACGGTATCGGTATCCCAATATCAAATACAGAAATCTCGAATACCGAATTATTCCCTAAAGTCAATCCCAATTTTAATCCCTAAATAATTTTGGTATCCCAATCCCAATCACTAAATATACCGGTATCCCAATCGGTAATTCGGTATCCAAATCGGTATTATCGAATACGAAATTAAGTACCTTTACAATTAATAATTAAATATATAAATTAGATTTTATTGTTTAATTTAGGGGAAAAAAGACTAAGCAAAGAGTTTTGAATTAGGATATTATTGAGAGTGGAGGAGAGGAGACATCTCGAGTTCTTGTCAATTGTAATCTTTAATTTGACGAATTAGAGGTTGACAGACGACTATGAATAGTGATGGAATGATATATGTATAATTAAATGACACTTTTGGTGGTTGAGGATCGTGTAGTAGTGAATGAGAGAGTCTAGTTGAGAGGATAAAATACACACTAGTTTATATTTCGGTATTGATCGGTATTTCGATATATACTGATCCCAATCCCGTAATCTCTAATACCGATAACAAATGAAATTCAATCTCAATCCCAATCCCAATCCCAAAAAATAATTTGTGTATTCGGTAATACCAAATTAGACAAATTCGGTACGGTATTCGGTATATCCCAAATATCGGTACCAAACTTCCAGCCCTAGTCTTCGTGATGTGAAACGACGCCGTATCGGAGAGGGAGATTCAGGTTTGTTTATCCTTCTTTTTTCTTAATTTTTTCTTCCAGCAAAAAATAACTATTCACTCTAAAATTTACAACATTAATTAAATATAATATCTATCTAAAAATTTAAATTTACCAATTTACCCTTTAAGTTATATTTTCAATAGTCATTTATCGCTTTACATTCACTATTCTAATTAAACACAATATATTCACTATATCACCAACTGCCTCTCTATAATTAAAAAGTATTCACTTTTCATCAATTATAATTTTTCTAAACTCTTATCAAAAATATTTTTTCTCAAATTTATGAATATTTTTCTCAATTTTCAAAAATGTTGTTTCAAACATGTAACTTCTTCTTTCTAATAGCTTGATTTCGAGTGTGATACAAAATGTCGAATGATACTCTAGTGTAGCAGTAATTTGGTGTATTGAAACTCGTAGTTTGACTCATATGATTAAGTTTCTGGATTAACGACTGGCAGTCAGTTTCCATCAAGATCGCCATCAGTGTGTGCACCCTAGTCAGACTCATCGCCCACAGAAAAGCTTGTGCTTCAGCCATTTCGGGTTCACAATCAATCCTCGTCCTCCTCTCCGCCGACAGGACAAATTTACCTTCCTCATCCCGAATCACCATCCCCATCCCTGTACCACCCTCCTTCAATTTCGTTGCATCCACATTCACCTTCAACACGCCCCTCTCCGGCTTCTCCCACTGCATCGTCGATCTGGCCACGCACTCCTGAGCAGCTCCTGGGTTGCTACTGCGAAATTCCTCCAGGTATAGTTGAGACCTTTCAATCACCTCCCATGCTTCAAGCTTTCTGTTATTGGATAGATGGGTATTGCGTTCCTTCCACAGGAACCATAGGGTCATAGCCATAGAGCATAGCTCTTCATTCGTAGCTTTGTCGCTAATTTCACATAGCCATTCCTCATTAGTTTTCGCCTCCCCTTCCATAAACAATTTTCGAAGAAAGCTAGGTCTCCATACCCTGCCTGTCCAGTCACAATCCCTTAGGATATGCTCTTGAGTTTCCTGCATACCACAAAAGGGCACTCGTCACTGGCCTCTTGGATTCTTTTAGTTAGGTTTCCTCCACTTGGGAGGATATTGCTTCCCCATCTCCACAAGAACACTCGTACTTTTGGTGGTAATTGGAGATGACACATTCTCTTACAACAGGAACTTATTTCTCCCCGTGATCACTCAACTTCTTACTTCTCCATTCATGATATCCAGACTTCACTGAGTATTTCCCCAACTTGTCCCTTCCCCACACCCGAACATCTAGTTGTGGATGCTTAGACAAGGGAATCTGTAAAATTCTTATTCTATCAGTAGGGTGGAAATGTGACTGCAGTATATTACTTTTCCAACTCCTATCTGATGGATCAATCAGATCAGACACCCGAGCTTGTAGTCCTAGAAAGGAGACTGGTGAGTCAATCTTGAAGTTTGGGCTACTGGGAACCCATTTATCCCATCAAATGCAAACTTGATCTCCCTCCCAATTCTCCATCTTATGCCTTCCTTCATCAAAGACTGTCCAGCCATTAAACTGCGCCATACATAGCTAGGATTACTTCCTAATTCCGCTTCCAAAATGTCACAATTGGGAGGATTTTTGCCTTCAGCACTCGAGCTACCAAGGAGTTTGGATTTTTCACTTTGCTCCAGACCTGCCTCCCCAATAGAGCTATGTTGAAGCCATGTGCGTCTCTGAATCCCACTCTCCCTTCACTCTTTGGTTGGCTTAATCTCTCCCAGCTCATCCAATGGATCCTTCTCTCCTCTTTTTTTTTTTTTTTTTTTTTTGCCTCCACAAAAAACCATCAATAATTCTTTGTATTTCCTACATCACTCCCTGGGATATTAAGAAAACATACATAGCATAGGTGATTTGTGCTTGGGCTATGGCTTTAATAAGAACTTCCTTTCCTGCATTTGATCGTGTCTTACTCTTACACATCTTCACTTTCTTCCGTACCATGTCAATGAGCTGTGAAAATTTCTTTGAACGCCCAACAGTGGTAGGCAAGCCTAGGTACTTGTCATGGAATTTCACCTGCTTCATACCCAATAACGTAGCCATTGCTTCCTTGTCTTCATCCACAACATTTCTACTAAAAGATAACTCAGATTTTGACAAACTGACTTGTTGACCAGATTCCTCTTCATACGTCTTCAGAATCTGCTTCATAACCCCCCTGCTCCTTATTTTCGAAGAAGAAGATGTTGTCATCAGCAAAGAAGAGGTGGGATATAATAGGACCATTCCCACTAATCTGAATCCCTTTCAGTTGTCCTTCCTCCACAGCTTAATTAGTTATAGCTGAAAGTCCTTCTGCACACATAAGAAAAATATATGGAGATATAGGATCTCCTTGTCTCAAACCTCGGGTTGGGACCACAACCTCAGATTGATAACCATTGACCAAGATACAATATGAGACCGTGACGCATTGCATGATCAGGTTTACCCATTTTCTATCAAACCCCAACTTCTGCCTGATATGTTCCAAAAGATCCCATTCAACCTTGTCATAAGCTTTTTCTATGTCTAGCTTAGTTGCAACAAACCCTTTTTCCCCACTCTCTTGTTCTTCATTGCATCGAAACATTCAAAGGCTACCATCACGTTGTCAGTTATGAATCTGTCTGGAACAAACGCACTCTGGGCCTCTATAATGACCTCATTTAAGATTCCTTTAAGTTGATTGGCAAGCACCTTCGAGAGTATCTTATACAAAACTTTGCACATGCTAATTGGCCGGTATTCCATAGGAGTTTTCGGGGTCTTTGTCTTCGGAATCAGGGTCAAGAAAGTTTGATTTAAGCTTGCAGGTATTTTCCCACTCTCCAGGATTGAGTGAAGTTCTTTTGTGATTACAGGACCAACCGTTGCCTAGTTTTTCTGGGGGGGAGGGGGGGGGGGGGGGGAGGGGGGGGGGGGGGGAAAGAGCAGGCATGCCATCTGGTCCCAGGGCCTTCAAGGGTGCCATATGCTTCAGCGCTCCCCATATTTCCTCCTCTTGAAAAGGTCTTAACAGGTAAGCATTCATCTCTGTTGTTACTTTACCTCGCATTGCATCAATAACTTCACCCCCTGATGTGCTAGGCCTGCTTTGAACAACGTTTGATAGTATTCCCCTGATGTGCTAACACCTTCCTGACCTTCAAAAATAGTTCCATCAATTCCCTGAATTTTTGTGATTTTGTTGCACTTTTGTTTGTCAGGCGACCTTCCTATGGAAATATTTAGTATTTTTATCACCCTCTTTAAGCCAATATGCTCTTGAACGTTGTTTCCACATCAGCTCCTCATGGTAATAGAGTTCACTTAACTCTTTTTCCAGAACTCTTCTTTGTAGCAGTATTGCCTGATTTTTCTTCCTCTTCGATATAGCCAGCAGAGCCCTCTCAGCCTTTCTGATTCTTCGCTTTATACTCCCAAACGTTTCTCTACTCCATTTCAACAATGTCTTCTCACAGGCTTTGATCCTTATTATAAACGCGTTGTTACAGATCGGGAAATCGCCGGAATCGATAAAACAAGAATACGAAAGCGAGAATCGAAAAACACAGACACGCGATTTACGTGGTTCACTAACACGATGTGCGTTAGCTACTTCCACGGGCGAGAGAGAGCCAGTTTCACTATATCAGCGAGACCCCCGACTACCAGTCGTAGCGGCTGATAGTCCGATTCAAGTCACGTCAACAAATCTACACCTTAACTTGAATCCTCCTCCTCTGAAATCTTTGGTGTACTCTGCTCCTTCTCTCTCTCTCCCGCCATCAATGCCCCGCAGGGCGGAGTCACC